ATTTTTTCTCTACTGATACAATTTTATAATACATGGCTGCCTGTTTTAAGAAGCAGTTATATAGCTTTCTTCTGATAGTGCAACTATTTAGGAACAGGAGGTCTTGAGTGGTACTTACCTATGACGCTAGCTCTCAGCTGAGGCCACTTATCTATCCAAGTAATTACAGGCTTGTATATGGAATTAAAGTGCCATGTTTAAAAAGCCAAGTTTGAACGAATCTTGGGTTTTTGTATCCTTAAAAGCACAGACAAAATTCTCATCATAGTTCCTTTGGCATTGTACTTTCGCAATTTTAGTTAAACGTATCTATCAAGCTGTAAAAAGGCAACGGCGTGGCCACTAAACCACGCCAATTCAAGAAAGCATGGGGTCTACTTTATAGGCAGAAGTAAATAAACAATTATTGCTCAGCATACGTTATAAATGTGCACCTACGATTTGGTGATAACTAAGGGCGAAATAAATGTTTTATTTATCTCTCTTACGTTCGAAGCAAACGCATTTGGTCTTCTTATTTAACGAAGTCTTTTGCTCTAGATTGCTACCATAGAATTCTTTAAAAACATCTAAAATTCTGAAAGCATAGAAGCGAGTTTCGAGGATTTTGTTCTGCTATCTGCTCGAGGTATTTGTTGTTTACCATTTTTTAACTTCTGGATACCGTCGGCCTGAAGGGGGCGTATAGAGTCCATTCGATAAACTGTTGCTGGTGATTAATTTTGGGATGGAAGTGTAAGGATTTCATATAAACAAACCATAGTAACGAAACCCCCAGGTTTGTGTAATACGGCGTTAATGGGACATTTCAGGGTAAAAAGTGAGTAAAAAGCATAAAATTTTATTAAACTTTAAGCTTACTAGACAACAAGGTAAAATAAATTGAAATTAATAACCGAAATATTAAACATACAACCCAAAAATAAAGCAATCTAAATTGTAAAATACAATGAATTATGTAGCTGGCTATTTACATTAAAATAATGTGTTGTTTATAGGTATTTCTTACCGTTGGAAAATCTGTGTGCTGTTCAACTTTGTCTTAATAAGCATGCATTGCGCCGCCTATGGACAGGCATTTTGACGGAGTTTTTATGTTCCATCGATTTAAAAATAAGGCAGAAATTTCTTTCATACATATGTTAGAGGTTACTTGCGATTGATTAATATAGACAGCGCAATTTTTTGGTTTCGTGTAGATATCTTTCAAAACGAAATATTATGGACAAAAGTGTTCAGTCCGAAGGCAAAAAGCACCATAAGATTGCCTAAGGGGACTTGATATAATACTAGAAATAGCAGACAAGACCATATATATGGATTTATCAAATCGATCAACGACGATGAAATGCAATCATAATTTGCGGCTTCGAACATCTTATACTGCCAAAGAAGTACCGTATGCTTGTCTAAATGGTAAAAGTATAAGTATTTAAATACTTTCACTTGTCTCTAGACCAACTGCGGTCATTTTGAGATATGTTTTGCGCTGAGACAATGAAGAAACTTTTTATAAGTAACGCCAGTGGACACCGTCTATTAATTTACACCTTCGATTGGAAGTTG